CTAAGTCAAAATAGATAGATACTCAGAGATGGAGAGAGTAGCATACTAGCATGTAATTATTATTTAGTTATAAATTATAGGTCAGTTTGAGTTGATTGTAAATGATCAAAACTTGACAAAGACTCTAAAACAAGGAGAGAAATTTCTAGGACAATTAAAAATAAAAATCTCTACCTTCTTCAAGATTTTTTATTAAACCTGGACTTTACTTTGTCTATACTCACATTAACACTCAATTAATGGAAACAACTACCAATATATGTAGGTAACCAAAACGGTATCTCGATCAGTGCATGTCGGGATAAAATTCTACCAGACGGAAGTGATACCTACGTTTTTGTATTTACTGGGTTCGTTATATATTTAGATTTAGGTTTTCATGTTCTGATATGATTCTAGACGTGAACCAAGTCTGATAATTTCTATACTATTTTGTATTGACATGGCTTATTCAGCCATTAGGCTTCATAGACTTCTTCACATGAGTATTGCTTTTAAATTCTTTGTTGATTTCCATATCGGTTGCTACAGGTCCAGATCGTATATTTAATTCATATAAAGTGTATGTTGATTGAGATTTCCAATATTTGAAGCCAAGTCAGGTTAGTTTGGTGTCCTGATGTCTTAGGCTATTGTATGGTATTTTTTTGGCTTTAGGAGTGCCGGTCAACTGGGACAAACAATTTCTATTGAATATATAAGATTGCTTCTTAGTTACTTTGGGTGTTGTAGTTTCCTGGCTTTTAGATGTTAAGACTTAAATGTTGATTATCTTATTCTAAAAAGATGTTTTAGTCAATTGACTAAAGTATCTTATTATAAAACAATATCATCAATTAAGATTGAATTTATGTCCAGGTTTTATTTAATTAAATTGAATTCATATCTTCTAATTTAAATCTAATAAGGGCTGAATCTCTCCTTTATTATAAGAAACTGATGATGCATTTTTTGATCTTCTCTTTTTGGAAGATAGCTTTGATATTAGTTTGGATGAGGAGATTGTGACTAAAACTTCTCTTATAATCTGTACTTCTGTCATAGGGTTATGGTTGTTGCTAAGTAAAGGTTTGGGGTACATTGTGCCTACTAATTGCTGGTCGATCAGTTTTGTTTACTCCTTGGCAATGATTGTTTGGGATGACTCTAATCATGTGGTGAAATAGCAGTCTAGGTAAGCATTTGCTAAGTCCAAATATGATCTAGAAATCATAATTGAAGACCATGCTCCATCTATTCTGGTCAATGAAAAGGATTTCCAAACCACAAAAGAAGCTTCCGCAGCTCAAGAATCTAATGCAGCAGGCTGTATACAAATCATTTTGGTGGTCCTTTTTCCCATAGGGGTGTCTCTTTTGTCATATGCTTAGGTAGCACACTACGTGCATTGACATGATATTGGTATTTGAATTTGTTGGTTGGATGAATTTAAATTGAATTCCAGTGTTGTGAAGATTACTACAAGTTACTATTGCTATTTGTCAATGTTTTTCATATGTTTCTTGGCTATCCTTGGAGTATGATTGTGAAGGTTACATCAGGTCATACACACACACACACACACGAATGGCCTTCCTATACACCTTTTTGCTCATCCAGCTCTTTACTCTATAGCCAATTTAATTGGACTTCCCCTCGAATTAGACAAAGCTAGTGCCCAGCTAACTCGTTAGAGTTTGTGTTGAGGTAGATCATTCCAAGGAACTTTCCAACTCTGTTTGGTTACACCTAGGTAGTTTGTCTTTCCTTCAACCAATCTACAACGAGGATTGGCCACAATAATTGCAAAACCAAAAAAGCATCCTCAAGATGGATTAGGGGGAAGGTAAAGAAGCTTCTTTGAACAAGATTGCTTCTCTGGTCACTGAATTAACTACTTTTACTGCCTTAGCTCCATATGCTATTGTCACTAATGATGCCCTTGAGGTTCTTACCTCTGTTGATGGAAATGGCAAGGAAGCCTGCACTGAGCCAACCATCAAACAGGACCCTTCCCCCACTTTGGACTTGGCGTGTTTTCCCCCGAACACCTCGATTCCCAGCAAGGTGGGACTCATCCCATTTGGGAGTATGATTTGTAATCCTCTTGATGTCCCTTCAGTTATTGAGAACAATGAAATGGCCCCTTCTATTAATGAGATTCACCTTATGATATGAGATTGATTGATAGTATGGATTCCCAATTCCCTTTGTGTGTAGCGGGGTGTCCATGTACTTTTTCTTTCGTTTGAATGAAAGTGTTTATTTTTTCATGTCCATATAATTCTTTAAAACAACGGTTATTTGATTGTTGTATAAATTTTGCCCGAAAATATGAAAGTAAAGTTAGAGAGCGTATACATTTTCATTGTAAAAATTATTACCGTTTCTTTAAACTTTTAAAATAGCTCTAGGCTCTAACTATTGTTTAAAAAAGGTATTCTTAACTTATTATAGACAACTTGTAATAGATTATGGCTTCTATGTATTTCAAAAACAATTCTACGCTATATAAATACACTACTGTTACAAGGGGGTCTTCTATTCTTATAATAAACAATTCTGCAAAAATAAAACCATATGAAACATACAACTAACAATACAATGCTATTTCTTATAAGTTTAAAAACAGTTATACACCGGGAAACCAGACTTCTGATTGTAAGTAGTAGTTTTAACTAATTATTGACAACTGCGGCAATAAAAACTGTATTTTTTGATGAAACTGACTACTAATAATAGATGACCCTTTCTCACAGCTTCAAAAACAGTTCTACCCATAATTCATAGACTATTGTTGCGAAAGAGTCTTCTATTCCTATTATAAACAACAGTGGCAAAAAAACATATGAAACAGACAACAAGCAATAGATAACTCTTTCTAATAAGTTTAAAAACAGTTCTAGACTAAAAACCCAGACTATTGTTTAAATAGAGTATTCTTAACTTGTTATTGACAACTGTTGTAAGAAAAACTGTATTTTGAACTAACACAGACAACTAATGATACATTACCATTTCTCGAAACTTTAAAAATAGTTTTAAAGCATAGCAGCTAGACTACCGTTCTGTTTCCAAGAAAAACTTACAGTAGTCTGTTTTTTTTCAACTACTGTGTTTCCATTAACAGTAGTTAATCAACAGTCGTATGATACTGTTTTTGGCATAGTGGTTGTTGTCTACTATTTCCTAGAGCAGTTGAACTGTTGGATTTCAACCAGATGGAATCGAAGTAGAGATTGGTAGACCGTTGATGATATTTATTTAACAAAAGACGTTGGTGAATGACTCGTACTGCGATTCGGCTTCTAATACTTTTACAATTGATGAGTCGCCAAATTTTGAAGATTTGTATTTATAGGGGGAACACATTCAAATAAATTGATTCGATCTAAAACCTGACCTAAATTTTGATTATTGGAGTCGATAGAAGAGGAGTTTTATGATTTAATACGTATAAGATTCTTAAATATGTTTGGGATCAAAAATACATGTATTATATGTTTTTTGTATGAAAAAAATTGTATTTGGGAGTATAATAAGCATAATATACGTATGGTTGTATAATACGTGTATTATACGCGAATAAGCTAACAAAGTTATAACGCACTTAATGTGCATCCTGGTTGATTTAAATTCTATTGAAATTAACATAACACATTTCCAATGGATTATGCTTAGTTGCAACTTGACATTCACAATATGATGGGAAATAATGCGTGGCTCGGCTCACATTTCCCAATTCTTTACAAAGAACAACCAAATCGGGTCTGTTTAATAAAATAGAATAATAAGAGAATATTCTCCGAATATGTTTTCCCTCCTTCCCTATAAAAAGAGGGTTTGCGCTCAATGTTAAGAGGTCTTTCTCAATTCACTCCCTCTCTATGCCCACTTCTCTTTCTCTCTCTAGATAATTTGGTAGCATACTTCCTTCTTCTTCAAGAGCTCAAATGCTCCATTAATGGCTTCTAAGCTTAAAGAATATACCATGTATAACCCCTGATATTAATAAAAATTCCCTGTTGGCAAGGTACCTCCAAAAAAGGCCCGTGGTTTTCTCTCAATTAGGTTTCCACGTCAAAATCTCTGTATTTGTATTTTGGTGCATTTTGTTAGGCTCATTTATCGTTCTTGTCCGGCTAAGAACGATATTTAGGTCGAAATAATTTACACCATTAATAAATATAAGTGCTTCCATGAAGGTACTTAAGTTTACTAATGTTTGCAGACCATCGCTAATGTAAGAATTGTCTATAAGTGGGATGATAATAAATAATTGCACATTTTAAAAATTATACTGAAATTTTTGTTATTTTCTAACATTAATATTATTTGGGCAATGTTCCAATGACATTAAGCTCTCATGTCATCCTATGACATGAGCTTCGTTTGGGGTCCTTACGATGATCCATTTAAAAATTTAATAGTTCCTATCACCCCTAACCCCCAGCTCAGCCCGATCCGGCCGCACCCTTCCCTCCCCTGTTAATTGCACCCTACAAGATGTGGTTGACTTTGGAGTCAAATTCTAACTTCAAAGTCAACTACATCTTGTGGGATGCAATTGACAGGAGAGGAATGTGGGTTGGGATCGGGTCGAGTTGGAGGGTTTATCTAGAATTTAGGAGGATAAGAACAATCAATTTTTTACGCGGAGTACCGTAAGGACCTTGGGTCATCCCATGACATTGATTTTCAATGTCATGGAAATGGTGAATATTATTTAGTTATTGGTAGAACATCTCTTTCCGTACATTGCACCAATAAATTACTAGTTAATTGAATGAGAAATGATTTTAAGACAAAGAGTAAATTATTAACACAAGGTCTACGTAAGGTTTGACACTCGATGCATACCAATGTGTAGGCTAACTCTCATTTTTAAAAAATAAATAGAACACAATATTTGTACGAGTCGAAAATAGAAGGTGGTTTTGAACTTGTACACATTTTTCCCACAATCCACTCTAAAAACCTAGAGTAAAAAGAGGATTATTTTTATAAAAAAAATATTGAAGGACCGGATAAAAAAGGGAACGTGAACATTGGGAAGAGTAATATCACAGGGAGTACTAAAAAACAACTCTCTTAAACCACAAACGGTGTTTTTACCAAAACAAACTGTCTGTCCAAATTGTGAAAAAACAACGAAGAAAAATGATAAAATTCGGGAGAGCAAAAGCGGCAATATAGAGCAACAAAAGGGTTAAACAAAGAGGTTGGGCCGGGATGCCTTGTAGGTGGTCTTGAGCTTCCTAGATGGTGGCCTAACCTTCTTAAACACCAAAGGAAACTTGATCTTGGAGTTATGGAACTGTTTGGTGGACTCTCTCTTGCATAGCTTGGCAGGAATGGTAGCCGTCTTGATGATCTGGATGCAGTGGTGGCGAACCCTGTGGCGAGAGGCCAACTCAGTGTACATCTGATCAACCGCACCGTTCAAGGTCGTATCACGGAATTCCTTGTACATGTTGTGGTAACCAGTTCTGCTTTGGTACCTCAGCCATATCCCATAGTTCTTGATTGTGGTTGGTTTCTTCTCAAAGATCTGCAAACATGAAAACAGTGCAAAGGTGAATTCCCAACACCATACGATTGCATATTATCTTCTTGGCAATGGCAAAATGGTAAAAACACAAGTGGCCACAACAGAGGATCAATATCTGAAACCTAGATGCACATGAACAAAAGAGAAATTAGTAGTTCAAAAATAGGGTTTTGCTACAGCCGCACAAACAAGAACATGTAGAAATTAGTAGTTCAAAAATAGGGTTTTGCTACAGCCGCACAAACAAGAACATGTATTCATGGGTGTGTGTGTGTGTGTAAAAGGGAAGGGACATGGTTAAGATCAATTTAGCATTTTTCTATCCAAAAGTACATGCATAGCTTTTCCATGCTAATGAGGTACACACGACATAAGGAGAGATGAATATGTAATGTAACATACTCCCTCCGTCCACTTTTCCTTTATAAGAGTTTAAGAAAACGATTGTGGTTAAATGTATATAAAATGATAGAATCCATAATATGAACTGAATCTTTATAGTGAAAATGGTGAAATGGGGTGATTATTTCAAGCACGGAAAAGACAAAGAGTAGATAAAAAGAGGACAAAAAGGCATTTGTACGAGGCAAATTCTGAGAAACATAATTATTCGTGTGTTTGGAATATAAAACACAGAATTCGCTTCTTCTCACGGTTCCTCAGTTCAAGCCGTTGGAGACATGTGGTGATTCCACACATGCAATGGGGTTTACACCATTCCCATTAATAGAATGAATCAATTTTCTTGCAAACATGAGTTATTCAAATTCCCAGTAAATTCATTTCCATCCCAAACAATATAATCAAAGTATAAACCATAGATATTCCCTGATTCACCTGAGGCCAAATAAAAAAATCAATTTGGTCGACATGAAAAGGTGTATAGCCAAAGAATCCTCAAGAGATTGAAACTGAATCAAACAGCAATTGCAGTAAGCCAGTAATCAAAGAGCTTAAATGATCTCACTTCCCGGTAGAAAGATCTGATGTAAAAATTATCCAGTACAAGTGTTTACATCAAATTCTACACAATCCTTAGGCATATGACCAGCAGATTAAGGTCTACTATGAAAGTCTAGTATCTATACCTCGTTGATGGCTAGGACTTGGCCATTTGACTTCTTCACCTTCTTGAGCTTCCTCAAGAAATACCTATGGATAAAGTTAAAAAGACAACAAGAAACCTCAACATATAGACTGAAACTGACAACACACAAACCTAAAATTCACAGGACGAGAAAGGGAAGGGCATTACCAGAACTTAGACTTTGCGCAGACCTCATTGGTGGCCCATAGCTTCATGCGGTACATCTTCGGGTGCTCATCGGACTCCGATGGGAGACCTCTTCCGACCACCTGGTACTGATGGAACTGCAATCAAGCAAAATCTGATAGTTACTATTTGCAACACAGATTTGACTGTGTGGAATATTCATCGAGATGAAGAAAAGGAATGCAGATAAAAGATCAACGATCTTACTCTGTGATTCACCATTTCTCGATCACGCGACGCCGCCAAAAATCTCCCTGCAATTTCTCTGCTTCTTTCTCCGCCGCGAGAGAGCACTCGGGTTAAGGGTTTTGAAATATAGGCCTTCCTAAACCTACTTTACTTATTACAATGGGCTTATGGGCCGATCTGGGCTAAAGAGCTACGTTAAACCCTTTAAACTAAAGATGAGCACGGGTTAGAATGGTGAGGGTTTATAGTTATTTTGGTCTCAATCTCGTTTTACATGTTGAAAGAGTGCGATACACAATATTGTCTTATTTTGATCCTTTCTTTTTAAAATTAAGATAATAGAAATTTTTATAAAATAGGAATATAAAATATGTAATTTCTTTTTGAACCAAACGCAAGTATGTATTGAATTAAATTTCAAATAACAAGATACAACCAAATGATAAAAAATAGTATCAAGCTGAAGCAATTAGACTATGCAGATGCTTTTAGAGTTAAGGTAAGTGGACACTAGAAATGTGATCCAATTAGTAGCTTCCTACCCTTAGTATGTGTTATCCTCATAAATCTTCTCATTCCTACATTTTGAGGTACAGTAATAATAAGGAGAGGATATAACACACAAAACTTTTCTTATTTTTTAGGGTGAATTTGCATTAATTTGTTGAGAATAGGCTCAATGGTGGACCAACCAAAACGCAATTAAGCCCAACCACTAATCTTATTATACGAAGTTTTAGAGAACTCATATTGGTAAAGAAGATGTTGACAGTCCTCAATAGCATCATAGCAAATTAAAGTGGACATTCAATATCAGTATAGAAGAATTTAGCAATTCTAGTTTTAGTCTATAACATATCTCTGCAAATTAGATAGTGAATATATTTGTACTTTGGGATAAAGAAACTATTCCAAAACATAGTATACCAAATAGTGGATTGTTGCTGACCCAACCGCCATGATAGCCCAAGTGCACAACATTAGTGTGTAAGCTTGATCACCAATATCTGATGGGTAGGCCATTAGCCCAAGTGCCCAGCATTTGTGTGATCCAAGGGAAACGGCGAAGATATTCTGACAGCGTAGCATTTTTGCGAAGCCAGATTTGCTAGGCAGGTATCGTGTGCCTTTGGCTCGGCCCAACTGCACAGAAGAAACGAAAATGAAAGTGTCTGATCACGGATGAGACATGATGGCTTGGCTCAGCGTCAATAACGAAGGAAGACCATACTATGATTGAACTACCATGTTTAGTACTTCATGCAACATTCCAAAACATGGCCTAAAAGTTATTTTATGATAAAACTATATTTTGACCCAACAAAGTATTATTTCTATGTTTGACCAAAAATGAAGAAACTTTTCAAATACATGATCTTTTGCTAAAATTGAATTTTATGTATAGGCCTCGAAGAGACGAATCCAACGATATGTTTTATGAACAAATCTGATATACAGATTTTGAGTTGTGACATTGTAAAATATCTAATTTGCATAAAATTGAGTTTGGAATAAATCATTATCTTGAATAATATTGATTGAATATTAAAGTATTTTCGTTTCATATTATTTAAATCAATTTTGACTCTATTAAAGTCAACACTTGAAAATATGATGTCAGAAAAAGTATTTCAGAAAAATGTTACAATTTTGTCATAATTCTAATTTTGATTGTCTGATTCCAAAAATGTGATCCGTTTCAATTCGGAACAATTAGGGCAAAAAACACGTACCATTTGGGACAAACCGGTCTATTTTGTCGTAAAGCCAGAACTTTAATCCCCAAATCCCTCCCAATCACGTAGCGAGCCCATGAAATCTTTTCCAAGCCTAATTATATACTCCACTACCTCACTACCTCCGAAACTTACACTATAATACTCCCACCATCCTCCACCATCATGTATCATCTTCCTTCATCATCAACATCATCACACACTCCCTTTCACCTCTCTCTCTCTCTCTCTGTGTTCACAGCAAGAAAGGAGGGAAAACACAATTTTACTTTGCTCAATTTGTCAAGGAAGAAGAAGGAAGAGGAAGAAAACCATCTAAAGTATCTAAATCCTGTGCACAAAACATATCAATCCACTTGTGGTATTTTTTTGGAATTTTCCATCCATTTTCTCGGAACACTTTCTTGATCAAAGTTTTAGCCACGTTTCTTACAAATCCAACCCAACAAATGATTCGTGATTTCGTGGGAAAAAAGGAGATATGGTCCATACACCAGAACTGCGCCAATGGTGGTGAGCTCCTCAAGTTTGGCTAAGTCTTTTCATATTTTCACTTCATTCCATTCAAGCTACTTATCGTAAACTCTTTAACGATCATTAGGAACCTATGGAAAGTACCAAAGGGAAGGTTTTACAAAGGAATATTGAAGTTGATAAGTTGATCTTCGGAGTCGTCGTTCATCAGAATATTCGAAATCGTGGCAGCACATATCAATCCACTTGTAAGCAACATTAGACCATCTAAACTTTGTTCTTTTAATCTGATTTCATCACGACAGTTGTAGCCTTATGTCTTAGGAATTCGTAGTTTCAAATGGTTCTTGATTTCGTTGAGTAACTAAGGAAATATGACCCGAAAACCAGGGTTCGTACAGTGGTAACGGGAATGATGAATTTATTAGGTTTCAATGTTGTTTTCACTCCTGTTCGTTTGTTAAGCTTCATCTCGTTGATTTCCAGATCAATACCATGATTTTAAACAACGTTAGAAGGCGTGGAATGATCATTGAATATACTGATTCGTATATATTTGAAAATATAAATATTTTTGTATTAATTGGGGGATTTCCATATCTTTAAGTAGTCCTTTATAAATGGGGCGCTTCCATATTTAGTCCACATTTATCAAATATTATGTTGACACTCCTTATTAATTCGGTATCATTCCACGTTTAGTCATCCGTCTATTTTTTATCTCCGTGCCGTTAGAAAAGGACCTTGTATGGAGGTACCCAATCAATAACGACCACGAAAATAATATTTGATAATATGGACTAAATATGGAAATTCCCTAGTTATAAAAGACTATTTGGAGAATTTACTTTCTAAAAATCCTTTTTAATATTGAAAGTACTACCTCCATCTTTGAGTATTTTGTCGAATTTTAAATTTTTGAAGTCAACCATTTTCAATATTTGACCTACAGTTAAATAAAATGTATATGGTATATTTATTAAATAAAATAATAATTTTTAAACATTTTATGTAATAAATCCAATAAAATTATTTTTGTATCAATATCTATTTTTAGTTTTATTTATTCGTGGTCAAAGATTGCCGATTTTGACAAAAAACCCAAAGTAGGAGTAAATATAACATCAATCCTCAAAATAAGAATTTCATACTCCGTAATTTTTTTCTCAAAATACGAGTTTGGACTGTGATATAATGACATTATATAATGACATGTTATGGTGTACAAATTTTGATTTTTTATAAATAAAGTAGAATTATACATTTTCCTATATATTAATTTTTATATTAAAAGCACTTAAAAAGAACAAATTCTCCAAATAGTCCTTTATAACGGGAGAATTTCCATATTTTGTTCATATTATCAAATATTATTTTCTTGGTTCTTATTGATTGGGTACCATTCCACGTTTGGTCATTGTCTAACGGGACGGAGATGAAAAAATAGACGGGGGGACTAAACGTGGAATGGTACCCAATTAATAAGGACTGTCTACTTAATACTCCCTCCGTCCCTGAGTGTTTGTCCACTTTCATTTTTACACACCATCCAATGCACTTCTTTAAACCATTTTATCTAGTAATTTGTATATTAAAAAATTATAAAAATTATATATTAATAATCTATATGTTAAGACGAATCAAACAAGATCACACATGACTATTTTTTGGCTTACACATTGAGAGAATTTGATGAGTCAAAGTGCTTATATGAACAGTTCCAAAAGTCAAAAGTGGACAAACACTCAGGGACGGACCAAGTATTTGATAAATGTGGACTAAATATGGAAACTCCCCCTTTATAAAGGACTATTGAGAGAATTTACTCTATTTTTGTACTCATAATCACCAAACTTATTTTTGTTGTTAAAGCTTCAAATAAATTGTGTAAAACTGGTCTATGGATGTTAGAGAACAATTTTATAAAGTTCAAGTGAAGCTTAGAAGCTTAAAATGATGTTTTGGAAGTTTGGACCAAGGTTGAAGGTGACACTGTACAAAACTCACGTAGACACGGTACCTTGATACCGCCCAACTGGTAACGAGATACCACCCACACGGTAGCTAGCTACCATCACAAGCAAAAATCCTCTGGCGGTACCTGACATTAGACGGTACCCCTATACGGTCTGGACAGTACTAAGGTTCCATGACGGTACCCTGGTACCGAGACATGTACCATTTGACCTGAAAGTTTTTCCTGCAAACATGATTTTTGAGCTGTAAAATCATATTTTTGATACCATTCGAGCAAGTAGAGAACACCAGTCAAACCATAATGGATGGATTGAAGAATAAAGTCTTGGAATGCAGAGGGGCTTGAGTGTGGAAGAGTTTCCGTAGAAACACGAGAAACGCCCTTTGCACTCACTTATGGGTTCAAGGCTAGGGCACTCGCCAAAACATCATTATTGACTAGCCCCATAAACCAACACAAGTGTTTCTCGCGTATTTTAGAATTGTTGACTCGCTGGGCATTTTGAGTGGGAAGGGTGAATGGAATCTAGAAGGTAGGTAGAACTCGGATAAGGTGTATAGAATGTGTATTGCAGATTACTTGCGTCTACTGAGATGGCATGATGAGATTCGGTTCAATGGAACAGTCATAAGGGATTTGGGGATGTTTTGCACCATTAATGAAAGACAAAGCTTTGGGAAAAGGCTGTTTCTTCTCTCTTGCAAGATACATCGGACTTGATGAATATGGAGGAGGAGATGAGAATATTCTGAGTTCAGAAGATAAACCTTGGACTGGGTTTGAGCAATACTCGTCGTCGTCCTCCTCCTCGCCGCATCTTGAACAGGGCAAGTGCCAAATTCCTTGCAGACTACGTTGACTCGATGAGAGCCTGCCAAACATGGCAGATTTGTTCTTCCCCTATTGATGGTGTTCATAAACACTACCTTCAAACCTTCATTGTTCCTCAAGAACATGAAGAAGAAGAAGAAGTTCTGGATTATAGAGGAGGTCACACTAAAGAACAACGAAGAAGTTATGGTTATATGGAGGTATTTTGGGGAATTTCCAATCAAATTATATATCCAGCATTGATAACAACCGGCTAGGGTGCCAGATTTTGCAGAAGGAATTCAAGGAATGTCTCAAGATGTGCGGCTAATATTTAAAGGGGTCATAAACCAAATTTTGGAGTTCGTGATTTGATCAATTAGATAATTTCTTCGATTCCCTGATCTTCTTTTTCTTCTTCAATCTCTCTCCCTTGCTACTCCCAATTAACAACGACCAAATCTCGGGCAAAGATGATCGGAGCAAGGGCGGTTGGGGAGCTGGCGAGATGATTGGAGAAAGGTGCGTTAGTGGGCTCGTGGAAACAGACATGCTGGTGCTTGCGGAGAGCGATGGTGAAGATGGTCGGTGAAGGCAAGGACATTTTGGACAAATTACACACACAGTCAGTTCCCCATAAAAATGAAGAAAAGTCAAAGTGGGAAGTTCTTTCCCGGGCACAGGGAGTACTATTTAATTATTTTAATCGTAATACTTCTTAGAGAACATTGTTAGGGGCCGGATTGTATTTTTGAAAATAAAAGTGGAGAAGTGATTAAGTTTTACAGAATAAGACGAGATGGAAAAAAAAAGGGAGTACGAATTTAATATAAAAACGGATGGAGCAATATTTATTTGATAATGACAAATAGAATAGAGAATTCAAGTCTTGCATCTAAGGTGATGGGATTTGCGGATTGATCCTTACAGGAGAAGGTCTATGTTAACGTAAAAAGCTACGACCTAACTAACCACCCCCTCACATCCATAGAAAGAAAAAAAAAACAAGGTTTTATTCATCCAAATACGAAACTGCAAAAGCCACAATAATAGGTAGAAAAAAAAAACAAGGCAGCGTTCTCAGTTGGGAAAACTTGAACTTTGCCTTTGCACACTCTTTCCTCTGCAACCTGCAAGGTTGAAACAGAAAACTCTTTTGAGAACTCGAAACGAAAGACTATTAAAATAAAAGAGTAATTCACTTGTGGTGTTAAAAGAAAGCCAATAGTAGCTCACCGTCTCAAAGCTCGTCCTTTGCGGATTCTTCTTTCAGTGAGTCTGATTTAACCACCGAGTCTTCCGACTGAACGGGTTTATTACTAACCTTGTTCTTTTGGATGAAGTCAACAATGTCATCTTTTGTTCTATCACCTTCATATGGTATTATGTCACCAGTTGAAGATATGAAGTAAAGGGTTGGGTACCCTTGAACCTCAAACTTTTGGGCAGGGACATCATTTGCAGTTGCATCCTGGCAAAAAAAAAAAAAGAGGGGAGGGAAGAGATGATAGAAAGAACGTTTTTGACTTTTCATTTATTGTACTGGGTAATGGAAGAAATTTAGTTTCTCACCAGTTTCGCTATCAAGACATCAGGGTGACTCTCAAAGAACACTGCAACTTCATCCAAGATTGGAGCTAGCTTCTTGCAGTGGCCACACCAAGGAGCATAGAATTCCAGCAGAACTGTAAGCATGAGATAGAGGATACATGTCGGCTAATGTCCTAAAAAGAAGGCATGGTAGGCGTGAAAAACTTGCAATAAAAATGTAGGATTTTAGATACATACCGTTCTTCCCTGATTTCAAAACCATGCTATCAAGGCTATCCCTTACAACCACCTTCACTGGTTCATCATTGACCTCTGGTATAGCCTCTGATCGTATGAACGGATCCACCTTCCCCTCCTGCATCCATGTATAGTAACAACATCAATTTCTGAGTAGGCGCTTCCATTATATGACCATATATCTCCGATGAAGATATTGAAGTATGATTTACAGAGGAAGTTTAAACTGAACTTCATGAACAGAAAACTTCATGCAAAAAAATAAAACAAACCCAAATGCATTTTACCCTGTAGTCCTTGATCCATGTCGCGATTTGATCTGGTTCCACATTTGGTTTGATAAATTTTTGCTGATCCTTGTCTTGTACTATGAGTACAGGTACCTGATCTTCCTTCAATCCATAATACTGAAGTGCACCGGCACTGGATGCAAGATCTGCCAACAGAAACCCGATTCCCTTTCCCTTATAAAGAACAGCCACATCATTGAACTTGGCCTTGAAAGCACCAAGCTCACTACTGAAGTTAACAAAGAGAATTGCCTACAAAGAAACAATTTCTGAGACAGGTTAAATTTCCTCACAATGATACTTCAAGTTGGAGAGAAAAGAAAATTTGAAGAGTTAAATGAAGTTTTTGTTTTACCTTTCCTAGCCTGTCCCTTTTATTATTCATTCATCAATCAAATCAAAAAGGAAAAATTTTTGGGAAGCACGGGGGGTGGGGTAGACTGTTAGTGCCTTTTAAACATTAAGAGATTGAGTACCTTGTCATTCGAACTATCAAAAAACTTGTTGACATAAGGATGATTTTCTTTGTTTTCATCAAAAATAGTAACAACGGGAATACTGGCTTCGGCAATGAACTTCTGCATAGCATCCACTTGGAAGTCCTGCCAAAGAAGATGTTTCTATTTCAAAAGGGAAAAAAAAGATTTCTACCGAAAAAAATTGCCAAAAAGATGGGAAGCAATACCTGAAAATCAGCAAATAGCTCGTCAAATGGTTTAAATAGACGAAGAGTGGGCTTATCAACTGAATCACCGTGAGGAAGGAGTTTTGCATCAAGTGTGTGGCCAAAATCATAGTCTGACCGTAACTTTTCAGCTAAAGTCATGAACTTTTCAAATTCATCTCCCGAAAAATCTTGAAACATACCAGCCTTAAAATTAAAGACGCAAATTCAATCAGTGGAATAACTAAGAAAGAAGTACAGATCACTGAAACCCAGGATGTAACAGAAGCAATAACTTACAATGAAAACTTTTTTCTCATCAATTAGACTTGCTGCATCTTCCTTCGACTTGATTTCAGCAGAAGCAGGACCAACTTGTTTTTTCAAGTATGTAACTATACCATCAGCTTCGCGCGGACCTTTATAATCTTGAACCACCTCTCCTCCCTTGCGTAAGATCTTAATGGTTGGGAAACCCTTGAGGTCAAATTGTCTAGCCAGGTCTTTGTTTGAGTCCTCATTAGCATCAATTTTTGCTAGTGTGACAGGAGGGTCATTACTACTCAACACAGATGCAGCTTTTTCATACTGCAATGTAAAAGATATTTGATAAAATTTAAATGTTTATAGATGAAATAATATCCTGCTAAGAAAATGATCAATCCAAAAAATAAGTCCCCAACTTATAAGACTTGAAATGCCCATAATGGTTACCTCAGGAGCAAGTCTCTTGCAGTGTCCACACCTGTTACAGCAGCAGGACAAATTAGATGTTTAAAAAGAGGAAACAAGAGTGACGGGCATCATAAGCCATTGATTTCTAATGAATTGTATGCTGATAGATAAACAAACACATTCCAACAAAGAGTAGAGCATAACGGAACAGCTTAAAGAATGAAATATGTCAAACGAAAGAATGTGCATAAATCAGAGGGACTGACACTATCACAAAATTGATTCCATTAGACCAATGGTCGGGGTCATCATGACATTGAATCAAAGATCAAGGAGATGTTGACGAATGATCATGGCAGAGGGTGCTGTGTTAGATAAACACAGGAGCCACCACGCCCACTTGTATCTGCTCCTAGACGTAGTGTTACTGATAACTACCTGTTCAGAACCGGGGCTATTCATGTTTGCCATTGATTTTTATAAATAAATGCTTAGAAAATGATGTCACTTCAGAATAGCCCATTACATTTCAAACACAAATGAAAAATACTACTTCCATCCCAGTCCCGGTGTATTCATCCAGACAAATTAGAGCATCAAATAAATAAAAATTCAATTGCATATTAATCCAATGAAATAGTATAATTTGGGAAGCTTTTTTGGGAAAAATCTAATTAAACCATTTTGGTATTAACATGCAACGCAATTTTCATTTAATTGACAATGAGTATACATTGTAGTTGACTGAAAAAAGTGAAACAGACCAATACTGTCAAGAACCCGTATCCAACTTCACAAATACATTCCAGAAAAGGGTCTGTATCAAGAAATGAATTTTGAAAAGAACTTTAAAAATGAAAAGCCATAGATCTCGAACAAAGAAATGAATTTGAAACAATTTAGCTGTATAAAAAAGGGCGACAAGATCAGGATTCAGGACCTCTCTATCAGATGGAGTACAAACGTCTAGGCATGCATACAAATATGGTATGGCAATCAGTGCTAATTACACAGCAAATTAAATTGTTTGGGGTTACATAGGAACTAGCAATTGAAATACCCCTAATATAAGTTGCAAATCCTCCAGCAAGTCAACTACACCAGCTTCAAAAATCGTGTCAAAGAATTTCAAACCCCACGCAGTATTTTAACCAATAAATTATTTTTCTTTATTTAAAAAAAAATCAAATTTTGAAATCAACAACGAGCAGATGCGCATACAAATGAAGAATAATGAAGGAAAACCGAATCGGGATATAAAAAAAAAGCACAGGCTTACCAAGGTGCATAAAATTCCACGACGATGAAGTTGTGCTTGGAGACAGTGTCGGAGAAATTGGTGTGATCCAGAGTCAAGACGTGCTCCTTCTCCTCCCCTTCCGCGGCGGAGACGGCGAGGAGAGCCGACAGAACCACCAAAATGGCGCTGAGAACCTTCTTCCTCATCGCCATGGTGAGGGTTTTCTGTCTGAATTTACACACTGTAGAAGGAACCTAGGGTGGAAAGAATGACAGATGTGTGTGTTTACGGGTGGGTGAACAATGCAATGCCCGTTACTCTCACATGGTCCAACTATGAAGTGCTATTTATAATGTGAGACTGCTCCCTCAGTCCCTCCCAAATGGAAAGTTATGCTTCGACCCGTGGAAACGAGATCAACCTCCCTAAGCAAAAATACTCATAAAAAACATTCAAAAGTTTATATCGCAGTAATGTGATACTGTATCTGGATATTTTATTAAATTGTTTGTTATTATATATGATCATGATTGATACTGTAAATCTATTTTAATTTTTATTTCGAAAATAAAAATATGAAACTTCTATTTTAATTTATACTCCGTATTTTCAATGTTTCATATTAAATAATTTAAGAATATTTTCAGTTAAATATCGTAAACCAAAAATAAAAATTTAAAATGGAACGGGGGAATAGTTTTTTGCAATAAAATTACAGAGTATTTTTTAACTAATAAAATAAAATGGTATGGTCTGACACTGTTAGGACATTGTACCATACCCTTCTAATCGACATAGTGCAGAGTAATTTTTGTTGTAAAATTGAATCATACCGTACGGTTTAAATAGTAATGGTACGATACGAGTTCGATGAACATCTCAAACTATGATAGAACACACATATCTCTATCAATACCACATATCTCATTTGTAGTGCCAGAGTTTCATTTGATAGAAGTTTAATTAAAAAAGAAAAAAAAGTTTCAAAGTACGGTGACAGAGTTTCATTTTTAGTGATAGAGTTTCATAATAAACAAGAAAAGCAAAAGAAATGATCAAAATAGGAGCCAAGCATGACCCTTATCACCCACAATAGAAGTAACATATTTTTGTTCTTAAAAAGTTGCATTACACAGTGTTGTTGAATTGGTGTTATATGTTGGTCTTATTGATATTGTAAATCTCATTTTGGAATAAAAATATGAAAGTCTTATTTGGATTCTTTCATCATATATACATGTTGATGTTTTTACTATTATTTTAATCTTTCGTCTAAATTACTTTCTATATTGTACTACCTTCTTTTGTCAAAACTCTTCCTATTTACTTAATCAAGGCATTTTGATAAGTATTATTTGCGTGTGCTTTTTATTAGTCATTTGAAAAAATAAAATATTATAGTCTCTACTTTTTTGAAAAATTTGTAAGAAATCACTCTCAATAAGAGTAAAACAATGAAAAAGTATAAAACCAAAAGCTCCATATTTTTATCCACAAAATAGGAGTTAGCATTATTGTAATGTAACACTATATATAGACATTTTATAATATTTTTTGGTAATGTATATGGTAATGATTCGCACTGTATATGCATTTTAATTACTCCGTACTATTTTAGGAATGAAAATACAAAAATGTTATTTTGGTATATCTTCTATGTTTATTTTTACTTTAGTCTTTTTCAACATTTTTATGTAATTTTTTAATATATAAGCTTTATTTTTTATTTCTATATCAATTTTTAAATAAATTTATTTTAAAAAAAATTGTATTTTACACGTAAAAATGAAAAACAAGAGGAGTATCATTTTCAACAGAGTAATATTTGTTCGTATTTTCCTAATTAGTTTCGACGATCCAAAGCATTTGTTTTGAATTTGCATTAATTATTACCGTTACGAGCCATTCGGGGTCTACCCATGTGGTGATCGGCGACTCGGCGAGACGAAAACTAACCTAAAGGCAGAGAGACACGTGGCACTTATGGTTGCGTGTCACGATGTAAGTGGGCGCAGATATGTCACAAATTCTCCGCAATTCCTACACGTGTGGAGAGATCGGTTTTGCACCAACTTTAATTCATTACTGTATTTAGTTGTGATAAATGCTACACTATTTATGGTATTACCGCACATATGACCAAACTGACATATATTTGGAGTAATCAATTAGTGATAATTAATTAATCTCCTCGTCATAAAATTATTTTTCTGTTTATTATTCACACGATTAAGTTTTATTCATATTTTTATTATTCATTTAATAAAAATGTATAATCATGTCACCTCTACTTGTACACAGTACACTACCTCCGTCACTTAAACTCTTTCTCTTTTCTTTTTTTGTCCTACGATTTTTTTCTCTTTTTTATTAAAAAATTACTTTTACTTCGACTAATTCTTACCATATCTATCACATCATACCCTTTTTTTTACTAATAATTTATCCACCACATTATATTTTTACCCATCATATCAAGAATATTTTTGGAAAGTCATCACAAAAATATTTCTCTGTTAAATTCTCAAAAAATGGTGTTCCTAAACAAAGTCTTAACTCAACTATGAAAAAAATTTCTCATTCGACTTTTTTTGGTCAAAGTTTGTAAGTTTTGACATCGATATGCAGAAAAAGCAAAATGTATTATAAAATAACTGTAGTATCAATAATTCTTTTGAAACATAGTTTTGAAATTTCAAATTTTTATAAAATATATTTATGTATAAATGTATATATTAATGGTTAAAATGCAATTTTAGATTATGTTTTACCAATTGAAGATACTACTCTCTCCGTTTTTTAAAAACAATTCCTCTTTCATTTTTTTGTTTTCTTTAACAACACGTCCAAATAACTAATAATATATCCCAATAAAGTCATTGCGATATACTCTATCCACTTTGCATTGGTATAATAAGTTATTTAAGTGATATGTATCTCTTTTAATTAGAAAGTCAAATTGCAAAAATAAATCTGATAAAAATCCAAAGAGGAATTATTTTCACAAACGAATGGAGTATGTCATTAAATGCTCTCTATGCACACTTAAAGTAAATCAGTAAAGCAAAATTAGTACTCCCTTCCTCCTAATTCCTAAAACCTTTTTCCGATTTAGTTTACGAAGTTTGACTGAAATTGTTTTCAATTTAATTTATTTTATTATAGATATAAAATAAAAATTATATGTTTAAAAATAAAATCAAAAGTTCTACAAAACAAGAGGTCAGGTGACATAACTACATTATTTTATCAAATGACTAACGAAAATAGGTTAAAAAAAATTGATTAAAATTTGGTCACGTGAATAGTGTCTCAGAAGAAAATTTTAAGACGGATGGAATATTTAAAATTTTTCCAATAAGGGTGCTACAGATGCCACATGGGAGGACGCGAAAGTACTACAAAAACACTTTCTGAAACTCGACCCCGAGGACAAGGCCGTTTCCGACCATGTGGGAGTTGATACGGGGGCGAACTAGAAATGCCCAACGAACTCAGAGTCTGAAGGCCCAACAGATTCGGAGGTGACTAGATGACTGCGGAGGAACGTGGGATGACCATGATGATAAAACGACTTTGTCTAGTCTTTATTTTATTAGTCATATATATTTTTATTTATTGTAACCTAGATTTTATTAGGTAAGCATATTAGAAGCTCCTTTGAGGATTTTTTTTCGATTCTTTATCTCGATGCTTTTCTTGAACTAACAAAGTTAGGTTTTTTGGATTTCTCTTTCCTCTACATAAAGAGATGTAGCTATACTTATTTCAATTAATTAATACAAGAATATAGTAGTCGTAGAATCTTCTCTCTTCCTTGACTAACGACGTCCCTACCAACGCCAACCAAATGTTGGATGCGCTAATTATCCTTTGTGTATACTCTGCCTAGCATCCCTTCCAAGTTAGCAATCTTAATTGAGTATATCATTGGAGATCTGAATGCTTCCATCTGTGGGCTGGGGTCTTCTTTGCCTTCCCCTTCATGGGCCTGGTCTGCTAGCCGGCCGACCTATGCTTTTGGGCTATGGGCTGGCCTAGGCCTTAGAGGTCCAATATCACATCACAAGCCATGACAATGCAGAAGCAAGCAATTAAGCAACATACTTATGGACTCCAAATGCAAGTTTTGAAGGACAAAGGTGCGATTCTTCCATGAGATTAAATTCTATAGAATTGAATTCACCAATTCCAATTTGTTTTTTGCATTATCAATTCCAAACACATATAATTTTTGTGCTACCAAACACTAGAACTGAAAATTGAAGTATTCAATTCCAATTCCATGGTTTGAATTCCGTGAACCAAACAGGGCCTGTGTCAATTTTTTTTGTTCACATGGCTGGTACACTTTTATCCATTTTGATACTTATAGCCCCTGTTCGGCCCTTTGTTGCGGTTATTTCCGTGGCCACGTTTAAAGTGTCCACATGCACCACCTTGGGTAACATTTGATTCCGGTGTTGAACCACGATTAGGATGACCAAAATTTGTAGAGCTACAAACGATAGGCCTCGTATTATGATTTAAAACCTCTTTCTCTATATTGTTGCTGTAATATCACATTCGACATATGCATAGTGGAAAATGTTTTTTCCAACATGCCATGATCAGTGATATTATGTCCACATAATTTTAATGTGGACGTGGCTTTGAAATAGCAGAATTATAGTCACAAACGGATTTAAAATCTTTGAATCTTAAATTGATCCATTCATATTGAGCCCTTGGCAATAAGACTTTTTTTTGCTGATGTCCATATCTCTATTGGAGATTATCCCATAATTCCTTCGGATCTTCCACCAATAAATATTCATATTTTAAACTTTCATGAAGATGGCAGCGAAAGAAAATTATGGCTTTTGTCTTTTGCTGAGATGATGATGTATTATTTTTAGCAATTGTATTTTAGAGGGCATTAGCTTGACGTCACTAGCTTGACGTTAGCCCGTTTTTTACGGGTCTTACCGATCCGAGAGTCATAAAGTTTGACCTTTTTGACTATCTTCTGATGCCACCTTTGTTCTGTTCTTTTGTAGTCAAAGTCTAGGATCTTTGACTCATTCCTGTGGTGTGGTGGCAACAGGAAAAATGAAGGAGACTCGTCTCGGATGGGTGGTGGTGGGAGTCTCCTCGGTGTATCCACATCATTGGCCTTAATCGCCAGTACATGGCTCTCCAAGTCTTCAATGGGCTGACTTTCAGTTGCTGGCTCGATGATTACAACATGTCCTTCCCCTGAGTCTTCAGTAATAGTTTCTATAGACGGAATGGGTTCAGCATCACAAGGTAATTTCTCGTCTATAGTTTTGTCAGACTCATCAGTATCGGAATCAAGGGGTCGGTGGTGGGCTCAGATTTCTCCAGAACAGGTTCCTCTGGAGAAGTGTCTTCAACACATGTTAGGAGGACATGTTCCTCCAACGTTTCTAGTGCAGCTGGTGAAGGCAGTTCCGAGACAGGACCCTCAGTAGGCTTCACATCTTGTACGATTAAACTTCGTGGGCTTTCAGGAAGCATCACCACTGTACCTCGTGCAATCATTTCTGCAAGTGTTATCTTATTTTCGATATACAGTGGTGATGGAGTTTGTGGGTATTCAAGAATTGAGACATTGTTGGATTCAGTTTCAGATTCTGTCTCAGATTCTTCATCTTCTTCTAGAACAACAATTTCCTCCAACTCTTCTTGTTGTTCCATAGCCTTCTTAAAGTCCTCCAGCATCTTTTGCATATGCTCCCAATATTCGCGTTGTTCGTTATCTTTCTGGGTTTGGAGCAGTTGGCGTTCTTCTTGGACTTTTTTGAGAAATCGTTCTCTTGCCTGGATTGCATCTCTGTTTGCTTCGATTTGCTCTTCACAAGTCAGAGAGTAATCACGGTAATAGGGTTGTTCAAATGATGAACACTCCATTACTAATGCTAGGTCAAGAAAACGTATTCTTTTCTCAGTCCACAAAATCTCTTCAATAAGTGGATCTAGCTGGTCATTGTACATTGGCTCTTGTTCGTCATAATCATCTTGATCACCATGAGGTTCGTAATAATCCCCACAGTTGTCTTGGTATGGAGAATATCCAAAGCTCCGAGACGGGGTATTGTATGGTGCTTCCTCGTGGTATGGATAATAATCAGGTCCATTATTAACTGAGAAGTCATCATAATAGGAGTCCTGATGTGGATAATAGTTGGACTGTTGTGGGTAGTAATTGGATTGTTGGGAGAATGATGGTGGGTGGGGTGGGTGGGTGATAGAAAGGAGGCGGATCGTAGTAATCATCTCGAAAATTCATTTTTAATTATTACTACGGGTGGTTTGTGAAAAAGAGGTGAGAAAATCGACCTAACCGGTCTTCACCTAAGCTAATTAAAAAAAATTAAACTAAAACCGTGCCACTCCCCGGCAACGGTGCCATTTGATTATTGAGTTTTTCGGTAAGTCAACCTTCCCAATGAAGGGTTAGTTTTCTCCGAGTGTCGTGTCTCTCGAGGAGTGGACGAAGGGAATTAGTTAATTTTTATAACTAGACGAAGGTTTGGACGGGTCTGAAAGTCTTCTCTTTTTTATTTGATAATAAAAAATAAACTAAATTACTCGGTGCCTTTTTTGAGAAAAATAAAATAAATAGCATATTTAATCAATAATTGGAATAATAATATTTCTGTCACAAATATTTCATTAACTTATCTTCTCTCAAGGTATCATTAATGTGTTCTAAAAAGTTTGGCTTAATTAATTTTATATTCTCATAGACAAGGTAAAAACTAATTTCCAATTATTAATTAATTTTTCTCTCGACATAATTAATTAATTTAACAATAAAAATAATTCTAGAACAATTATTCCAATTATTAAATAAACATACAGAGTATATGCCCAAATTTAGCCAAGACTCTAATCCGGGTCCTAACCCATACTAGATATTAACAGTGCATAAAATAAAAGAACATTTTATTAAAAGTTGTAAAAATAAACTTACAACCGGGAGTAGAGCCGGGGTCACTTCGGAACAACCGGAACAAAACTAAACTAAAAATATTAAAATATAACTGGAAACGGGCTAGAAAGGTGGTCCGGGCCTTAGAAGACCCGGAAGGAGCTGATGATTGATTGCCTTCGCCGAAGAACTGCCTTATATAGGCGACGGGATTTCCAGGGCGGGCTCTGGGGCGGCCGCCCCGCACAGTTAGTGCGCTCGGCAGATGATTTGCATATCAATGCAATCTCTTCTTTATTTTTTTGTTTTCTTGCTTACGTGAGGTTTATCTTTGTTCATTACTCCTTTTTGATTTGATGATGGTGGCGGCTGAATGACACCCACTTGCTGGCTGCTGAAGTTGGCCGGCCAGCCAGGTCGCGCCACGTGGCAGCGCCTGGTTGGACGGATTTTGATCTGGTCTGAAACATTTTTCTAAAAATGCTATCTTGCTCAAAATTTTATTCTGAAAACCTTTTCCTTCTGCGCCGACTTCAAATTCCGAACCAATTTGGGTCAAACAAATTAATTTGAATCAAAACAACTTTTTTTTTAACTTTTTCTTTTCAAACAATTTATTTTTGGTACTTTTTCAATCCGTTTGACCTCAAATCTCTTGACGGGGTGCATCTCCACAATTGAATATACAATTTTCACTTCAAGGATTTTCACCATCTTTTGCCTCTTTGCTCCGTTGCATTCCATTTGCACAATTTTTTACACTTTTGTACCACTTTTGATTCAATTTTTATTCTTTTTAAAACTAGACATAACTTTTGTGCACTTTTACAATTATGAATAAAAACTTATAAAAACCATTGAGAAATTGATTTGTTTGATCTAAAATTGGACAATAACACATTAGATATAGAGAAGATAAGTGCGTACAAAACGGACTTATGAGAGGGCATTAGCCTTAAGGTGAGCAAGTGCATCTACTCTCCATTCCAGGTACCTTTGACCGGATAAATCAAGAATGTCTAATTCTCTTTTGGTGATTTTGACCACTTGAAAAACTCTGAGAAGAATAGTTTTTGAGATTTTTGAGCAAATTCGTGCTGATAACGTGTTATAAAATGAGAGAAAAAACTACTCAGAGATTTTGAGAATAGATCTAATATATTTCTGATTTCTTCTCTCTATTAATGCTTCACTACTCTTCATTTTCTTAATGGTGATTTGCAGGGATCCTAAGCCTCATATTTGTAGTAGAGAGGCTTAGTGGTAACACTGTTACAAATAGTATACATACTATACAAATTGTTAGAATAAGTGACCAACGCTAGAGGGGGG